CCATATGGGAGTGTCCAGCGCCTTAACCACCATGCCACCTGCTGGTTCCCATCCCATTAAATGGTTTTTGAAATAGTTTCAGAAGCTATTACAAAGCCAACTAGAAACAAATCAATCTATGTTACTAATAATTACAGATGGCTTAATTATTTTGACTTCTGTGGAAAAGTTGAAAGTGGCTGAAGTAGTTAGAAGTAAAAACTTGTCAGTGTTATATTTATAAAGGGAGCATATCCATTCGCTGCCTCCAACACCTAATCTAGCATGTTCTTCATTGTTAATGTAGGTTTTAGATGAAGCAGACAAGATGTTGGACATGGGATTTGAACCTCAGATAATGAAGATTCTGTTAGATGTGCGCCCAGACAGGCAGACTATTATGACAAGGTAGGTGTATCCCTGATAACTGTGCAGCATAGACATCAGGAATAGACTCCCTTCCTGAAACAGAAAAGGACAAAGTGTTAACGGTGACTGCTTTATTCTTGACTATTGGTTTCCTAAGTTACAGATAGAGATTTCCTTCTGATGTTAAGGTCTGACATTTCAGTAAAGGATCACCTCTCCTTAGAGCTCAACACTCAATTACTGAATACTTTTTTTAGCCCAAGATAAATCTGAGCAAACAACTTGTTATATTTGAATGCAGAGTAATCTTTAAGAACTAATTCCTCCTGGGCTTCTACCTTTTATCTTCAGGAACATTAAGGATAGTGTAGGGGCCCAGCAGCTGGGCTGGCAGGTATGGTTACCAACCACAGTTCTAGTCCCAGATCTAGAGGCTTGAAAATCACAACAAGTGCATGTGCATGTAGGCCCAAAGTCCTGAGAGGAAAATGGAAAAGGGATTTCAGCATGGCCATTCCCCTTGGGAGGTGATTTCTCACTTCCTCTTTCACCGTCTCTGTCTCTGGTGAGCACATGCACCCTAAAGCAAAAACCTCTTTTAAAAAAATTAGTGTATAATGGAGGAAGTGTACTAGATTCCCTTACTTTTTTTCTTACAAATAATCTTCCCGATTCAAGAAAAATGAAGTTGAATTTCATTGTAATAAGTATGGAGATATGAAAGGTCGTCATGAAGCTTATCTGTAAAATCTACATGATCAAAAAGACAGGAAGTACTAAATTTCTGAATTTGTCTTTAATTAGTAACTTGTTGCATAGCATGCTTTAGAGAATTTAGGAATATTTGATTTACGATGATTGTCTTTTTTTTTTCCCTGAGAGGTTTTTGCTATAGGGCACATGCACTCACCAGAAAGACAGAGAAAGACAAAAAGCGAGAAATCCCCCCAGGAGGGATGGCCACACCACAATCCCTTCTCCATTCTCTTCTCTGGATCTTAGGCATACACGCACACATGTCAGCGGGAGTTTAAGCCACTGGGTCCGAGACTCAAACAGTGGTTGACTACATGGGAGTCCAGTGACAAAGCCATTATGCCATCTGCTGGTCCCGATTTGCAATATGTTTTTAATATTGATGTCTTGGGTCGGCAGGTGGTGTGGTGGTTAGAGGCACTGGACTCCCATGTGGCTGACCACGGTTTGAGTCCTAGACTTGGCGGCTTGCTTTCTCTCTCTCTCTCTCTCTCTCTCTGTCCCTCTCTGGTCAAATTAAAAGAAAGAAAGAAAGTTAAATAAAATAATTCTTTAAAAATATATATTGGTATCTCTTGTTTTATTTCTAGTGCAACTTGGCCATGTGCTGTTCGTCGACTTGGACAGTCTTATTTGAAAGAGCCAATGATGGTCTATGTTGGTACTTTGGATCTAGTTGTAAGCTTGTTTTTTATTACTACTCTATTTTTTCTTTGTTACTTTAAAATTTATTTTATTATCATTATTAAAAAATATGTTTTAATATGGAAATTTTAAACATATAGCTAACTTTGGCCTTATGATATATTCTGCCTACTCCGTAGTTTTACAGAAAATTCCAGATGCATATAATTTATAGTTATTTTAATATTTGTCTAAAGATTCATTTTAACATAGCTATAGTACCATTATCTCACATCGGGCATTTTAATAATTCCTTAATGCCATCAACTACATTGTCAATGTTTCTGTTTTCCTAATATCTCATTTTTATTAACCCTGTTAGAATCAGATGCTAAACACACATCTACATATGTGCATATATGTCTGGTGTTCTCTTTTTATGAGGTCATAAAATTTGTAAAATCGATTGTTGAGTTTAGATGTTGTCAACCAGACCCCTCATTTATAAAGTTCTCTGTTGGCCTTTCAATTGATCATTATTAATAATGACTAGTCATTGCCTAAATACATTATTTCACTGGGGATTTAAAAATAGTCAGTTTTTTTTTCAAATAAAATGCTTTCTTTGAAATTTTTGTATTTAATTGTTAGAATACTCACTGCATTAAGGCTCTTGAGTCATAAAGCAATCATCCTTCATTGGAAGAATACCCAAATTCAGGATGATTGTTTTTGTAAGCTTCACCTCTCCTCAAGGCTATTTTCTTTTCTTACAGTGGTAACTAATTGCTTTCTGCATACCCTGCCAAGCATTGAAGTATTCTCAACTTATTTTGGCATATAAGTAATAAAAACGGATGGCTAAGCTACATTTTTAGTAGAGACAGGTCGTTTTGCTAGGATCTCTACCTTTTTGTTAGCAGCTTCAATACCTTAACTAAAGCTAGGAATAAGATCTATTTTAAACTGATGTACAGGGCTTCGCCCTCAATATCGCTGTGCCATAATCATTGTGTCCTTTAGGCTGTAAATACAGTGAAGCAAAATATAATCGTCACTACAGAGGAGGAGAAACGGACTCATATCCAGACTTTCCTAGAGAGTATGTCACCTAAAGACAAAGTCATTGTCTTTGTCAGCAGAAAAGCTGTGTAAGTAGTTTTTCTTTGTATTTACATTATAGTTATCAGTCCAAATGATTTACTTAGGCTTACTTCTATTTTTATATTTCCATTGGGAATAGTATATTTGTTATGTAGTTTTAGACTTTTGCTATTAGAAGTAAAAGTAGTGAATAGATAGTGGTATTAGATCAAGTGCCTAAGATTACTGACTTTATCTTTTGCTTCAGAGCTGACCACTTATCGAGTGACCTGATTCTTCGACATATATCAGTAGAATCTCTGCATGGCAACAGAGAACAGAGTGATCGGGAGAAAGCTTTAGAGAACTTTAAAACAGGTACATGTAATTAATATGTAATTAATATTCATTCCAATTTAAGGTAAGTCCAATACCTGGACTTGACTGAGTGCCATCTTTTCATAGAACTTAATTATGTCCTGAGCTTGCATTTCACAACAATACTTGTCAGAGCTCCATCTATCAAAATGCCTCTAAGATGGGACCAGCAGTTAGCGTAAGGCTATGTCGCTGGACTCCTGTGTGGTTGACTGCGGTTTGAGTCCTGGGCCCTGTGGCTTGAACTCAGGCCAGGAGCGTGTGCCCAAGATCCCAAGAGGAGAATGGAAGAGAAGGGATTGCGGCATGGGCATTCCCCAGGGGGTGATTTCTCACTTTCTGTCTCTCTCTTGTCTCTGGCGAGCGCATGCACCCTATAGCAAAAACCTCTCAAAAAAAAAAAAAAAAATCGTCTAAGAACTAACTACCAAACTCCAAAGGACTGCAGTAATCTTTCGCCTTACCCCTGCAGGATATATTTCAAGATCCCCGTGGATCCTGAAATACCAACTATAATACTATACTACCAACTCCTATGTATACTGTTACTATGCTATAATACCAACTCCTATGTATTCTGTTTTTTTGTTTATGTATGATAAAGTTTAAAAACTAGGCATTGAAAGAGATCAACAACAATAACTAAAAATAGACCGGTTATAACGATATACTGCAATAAAAGTTATGTGAATGGGGTCTCTGTCTCTCAAAATATTGGGTTGTCAGAAAAGTCATGATGTCTTTTTCTATGTTTTTCTCTGCAAAAATGCATCACGATTCTTTCAAGAACCCTAGAGCTTATTGTAGTATAGATCTTAGCAACCTCAGCATATGATTTTATTCCTTTCCTCGTGAAGTCCAGAATTTTCACTTTTCACTTAAAGGAAGTCCTTTTCGTCTTCTCTTTAAAATATCTGAATTTCCAGCATTACTATTTTTGTACTTTAAGGCCATTGTTCAGTAAAATAAGTGTTATTTGAACACAAGCTCTGTGAATCCACAACAGTTGATCTGAAAACTGAGGCAGCTCTTAAGTGACTAGCAGGCAGACAGCCTAAGCAGCATGGATTCGCTGGGCAAAGGGATGATTTGTATCCTGGAAGGGCTGCTGTGAGGGTTCACCGTGCTACTCAGAACGGCATGCAGTTTAAAACTTAAGACTTTCCGATTTGTGGAGTTTCTATTTAACATGTTGTGTAAGTGCAACTGTGGAAAGCAAAACTGCAGATAAGGGGCAACTGGATAACATAAAGAATAAAAGTTATATGATTAGATAACGAGGGTGGGCCAGCCCCTGGCATGGTGGTTATGGCCCTTGATTCCGCATGGCCAACTGGTTCAAGTCCTGGACCCAGTGACTTAAGAAACATGCTGGCACATGCATGCAGGCATGTTTGCTCTAAACCCCAAAAGGGGGGAGAGCTGGAGGAGAAGAGATTGAGGTGTGACCATTCACCCTGGGGGTGCTTTCTCATTGTCCCTCTCTCTCTCCCTCTCTTTC